CTAAGAATCTAAAATCATTTCTGTAAAGCCGTAGAAAATGTATGATTCAACCAAGCTTCTAGGGTAACTGTAAAATGAGGTGAGTGATATGAACGAAAAAGAAATAGGTTACAGAAAGCGAAAATAGGATAAGAAAGATTAATAATGTTTGTAGAGTTCAAGAAAGCACTCAGGCGGGAGCTAAAGTAGCTGTTGGTTTGAAAATGCTGTTTGAGAAAAAAAAATTCTCTTTACAAGTGGAGTGCGGGGGAAATGTAGGTTTTTTTCGTTTCCGTGGACGTAGCAGGGCGTGTCCGATATGTAAGTGTCTGAACTGCAATTTGCTATGGGATGCTGCAAGGGTAATACCCCACCAATAAGACTGCGTCAATTACTTGAAAATTCTATCAAGGCTGGGAGGAAGAGAATCGAATTCTAGCCGACCAGACAGGGTAGCATTTTCTCAGACGGATTCATGCAGGTGATTATATTGAGAAATCTATTTTATATAAGTTTTATGTGAAAGTTTTCCAATCCTTTGCTTTAAAAAAGAAGGAAGAAAAAAAAAACGATTTACAACAGTGTATTCTGTGTCGAGATTTAAACCAGAAGTTGATGGGAAACTTTCCAGCCACGTAATAGTATTTCTCAGAGCCTTGAAAGCGGCTGGTGTCAGGTTTTATGAAGCAATCAATTTTGTCACGTCAATAGAACCTGAAAAACGCCATTATAAGTTTTAGAAATTCGGAAAGATATTTTTACTTTGCTTTCTATTATTTATCATTTAAACAGATGTTATCATAATATCTGACGACGATCCATTCACTGTGAAGTCCAGTATATAAAAAAAGTATATATATATATATATATATATATATATATATACCCTAGAGTCAAAAAGTTTGGTGACCATGCTGCATTTTTTTAAAAACACCTAAGAATAAGATATTTTTGTATGTTCGTGTTTTTTAAGGAAAAGATAAAATTCCAGTAACTACAGTGCATTTGATGTTATTTTGACAAACAATAAGTACTTAACTATAAAAAATAAGTACTTAACTATATAAAATAAGTACTTAACTATACAAAATAAGTATTAGGTTGGTGCAAAAATAATGACGTAATAATGTCGTTTTTGACGTATTTTTAACGTCAAAAATGACATTATTACGTCATTATTTTTGCACCAACCTAATATTTAACTATAAAAAAAACCAATCGTACAACGTTATCATATTTTGTTTTCTTTAATAAAATCACCAACTTTAATTATCTCTTTAAAAATTCGTGACATTCTTTCCAACAATTTTTGAAAGAAAAGTATAGCTTCAAGCACTGAAAAAGTTCACTCTCACGCTTTGGGTATTCTCTTCGCACTCTCCTGCCTAATTCATCCCCTACTAATTAAATGCGATAGACTTCAAGCGATCTTCTTTTTTTTTACACGTGATAATTTTAGCATAATTTAGAAGAGTGTTTTGGATAGTTATCTTGTGGATATGTGGCTTTTGTTTTCCCATTGTTCATAAACCATATGATATAGGATGTCTTTGCATAAGTCAATGATATTTTTTTTGTTTTTTATTTCGCGATTTCCTTCACCGGAATAAAATCTCCAACCGTTTTGCTAATCTTAAAAAGACTAATATGGGATTAATATGGAAAACATAATGCTTTTCATACAAACTATTAGAATTTAAGCAATATATAGTGTGGACACACGAATGGAAATTAGAAATTTTTTTTTAATAAAAAACTCCAGAAAAAGAATGAAAATAAAAACAAATGACTGAACTTTTATCTTTAAAAATATCTCATTTTAATGCGGGGCAACCTTAAACCTGAGAGTTTTGAGTGTTCTGGCCTTGTTCAGATTGTTGATCACGCTAGATAACACGCTGTCTACCAGAAACTGTAACTAAGGTCTGCAAATTTGCAGTATTAAGGCTCACATAAACATATATATGTGAAAAGTGTGTGTGTATATATATATATATATAATGGTATTTATTTATATATTATATTTGCTGATTGAAATACAACCAAATATGTTAGCTCTATCTCTGATATTGAGCTTTTCTAATAAGTACTGGCGCATATAATATATAAAATATATATATATATATATATATATATATATATATATATTTATATTTATATACACACACTTTTTTCACATATATATTTCTGCTCCCCACGTGTTGAGCACTCGCGCTGTTCTTTTAAACGAAAATGCAACCAAATATATATATATATATATATATATATATATATTGAGCAATAAAAAATATTAAAAAATTAAAATCTTCAGACACACTGGGTTGTAGATTAATATTCTTTCGTTTTTTATTATTTCATTTAGGTTCTTCGACTAGTTTCGTCCAAAATGGCCATCACCAGAAGAAATATTTCTGCTTGTGGGTAGCAGTAAACTACAGAAATGAATGTCTTGATGGAGAAAATGAACTTTTGTCTGTAGTTTTCATTTGTTTTTTTTAATTTTTTATCCTTTTAACATGAATCTTTTAACATATCTTGTGTTGGTCAAACAGTCTCATTTAAGTTGTTATTTGAGATAAGAGCTAAATGGATCTATGCTTCTCTGAATTCCTTTGGTCAGTTTGACAGTTTTATTGGTCCTGGAGAGGGTATGTGTCTCTGTTAAGTGTTTGTGTGTGTGTTATTTGGTTCTTAGGGAGTGATTGAGTATGAGATGTTTAAGCATGTATATTGCTGTGGGTGGGTGTTATCATTTGGCTCATTAGGGAGGGAGTGAGTATGATGTGTGTAAGTGTGTATATATTCGTGTGGGTGTGTGTATAAGTGTGAGGCCACAACACCTCCGTAAGCATGTCTGTCTTTTGTGTGTGAGAAATATATATATATATATATATATATATGTATATATGTGTGTGTGTGTGTGTGTGTGTGTGTGTGTGTGTGTGTGTGTGTGTGTGTGTGTGTGTGTACACATGATGTCAGATGACTCTGTGTGTACCAATATATAATCTAGTTCTGCCGATTAAAGCCATTCCCCCAAAACCGGATTTTCTGGAGAGGTTAGGCCAATAGTATTTTTTTTTCTTTTCAATCATCTCACGCCAAGCAAGGCGAGACCGCCACTAATACGTTGAGGGGATTACAGGGAGTTAAAGGGTGAGAATAGGGAGAATTGGGGAAGGAGGAAAGATAAAGGGGGTTCAAGAAGACGGGCCATGGAGATTGACGTTGGATTTAAACCTTTGAAGATTGTACATAGCCGGGAAGGAAGAAGTCGGAAGGGTGTTTCACAGGTCGGAAGTAAAAAAAAAAGAGAGTAACGAAACTGTGGGAGTAAAAGTCGCGCTTGCATTTCGCTGTTTAATCAGTTAACGGGAGTAAAGTGCGACCTACACGCCAATCTGCTAGTACGCATAAATTCATGTAGTTCGAGCTTGTTAGAGTAATTGCCATGAAAATATTTGTAGTAAAGAAAGAGGTAAGCCACCCCAAGTCTATGAGAATGTGACTAGTCGAGATACTTGATCAGGATCGATTGCAATGTCGAACCTTCTTTGGATTTTGTCAAGAACCTCGAGATGTACAGCAAGTGCACAAGACCGGATATGGCAACATCACGGACAAACAAAACCTGGCAAAAGGCGAATAATTATTCTTGCCGGACGAACGGCCGCCTAAGCACTATTACCTAGACTTTTTTCCACCCGTGTGCTGATCGCACGGCACAGCTGAGCGGAGGGCTTCTTAGACATAGGTAAATGGTCAGATCTCGGGATTCACTTCACCCCCGTTGGAATCAATGGCCACACTTCAGGGACTAAGACATGATTACTTATTGGGTTACATGAGCTTTGTTTTGATCTGGAGATGTTTTTTTTCCCATCAAGTCTTATTTCCAAAGACGCACTGCGCATGAATGAATAACTAAACACCTTTCAAACCAAATTGGTTCAGCGGAAATGGTCTGATGTTCAGCTGTACAGTGACTATACTAATACATCCATGTCATACGATTGATAATTGGTTGGCTGTATTGATTTACACGCATATCAACAATACTATGTGTTACTTAATGCCGAAAGGTAAATATTTTGTATGTCACTTTATTTATTTATTCCAATAATAATTCTTAACACACATTTATAAAAACCAACGGTAGAGTTCATCAGTCATGTTAACCTGGGTCCATTACTGATTTGGGGTATTTATCATGCCATATTACCTATTCTATTGTAATGGACTCTACCACAGTTAATAATTAATAAGTAGTAGTAGCGGTCGCCAGTTCGTCCCAATGGTGTTGAGCAAGTCAGACGATATCGGACATTGAAGTACCAACCATCACAACTATATTGCTGCCATTAACTCTTATTTTCCAAGTTCCTAACGTTTGTGTACGTCGAACCTAAATTAGGACGACTTATTAAAATACAAGCCTCCACTGTGAAAACTACTCCACAACAGTATTACAACATCAGATGCATCCTGCCAGGTACCCCGACCTGTTACCAGACCGCCTCTCCGCATAATTCACTCCCCGATGTGATTTTATTAACAGAAAATGTATTAATAATCAGGAGGTAGATCTTTCATTTATAATGGCAACGAGACTTTTATTAGCCAATCAGAATTTTCTTGTCTGCTGTCTAGAGGAACAAAGGCGCGACATGCGCGCGTTTTCCAGTTTTGGTTCTATTGCACATGCGCTAACGTTATGGTAAGTATTTTTCTTTACATTTACTTGAAGGAGAAGAAAGAAAAATAACAAAGAACAAACAAAAAAACATAATAATGCTAATTAATAATATTATTAATTGTCCTAATATGGCGTTTAATTCATCGCAGAATCAAACGCCGTTTTATGTTCTCGCCTTTTCATTCTTGCATTCACTTACTAACCTAAGAAAAAAAACACAACCTCAAACAAACCTTACAGTAAATTGAATACGTTTGGAAATGACATGCCATATGCCTTTATCGTTAAGAAAAGACTGGATTACACTGAATTAACTTTAAAACCGATGCCTTCATGGGTTCGAAATCTATTTGATGCTAACTTTTCTTGGTAAAAAAAACAAAAAAACAACAACAAAAAAACAAATAAATAGTTTAGTGATACAAGTCTTACTAATTAATCCATAGCTATGGGGAGTAAAGGTGGATTCATACTTTTCAAGAATTTATTTGCGCGTAAATGAAGATAACCAGAATTAGAACCCGGCTCTGCGACTAACAAATCGGAAGCATTATACATTTCACCATCCATACATCCCAGCTCACATCACGTTGCATTCAAAATCGGTCACCCATCGAACCAGGCTCAATGTTACTTAACTTCGGCGATCGTAGCTGAACTGGTGTTTCAACGTGAAGTGTGTGGCCTTAAGCGTCCTAGATCCTGAGTTGTTCTTGAGCGGTCACCCATCTAGGTAATGACCGGGTTCGACGTTGCTTAACTTCGGTGATCTTACGGGAACAGGCTTTTCAACATATTGTGGCCACAAGCCGGAACTGATAATTGATGACTATGATGTTTTTTGTTTGTTTTTATTATTATTATTATCATTATCATTATTATTATTATCATTATTATTATTATTATTATATTCTAACGGGTCTTCTTTCTGTAAATGTCTGGAAAGACATAATTTTCACCAAAATTGAGATCAACCACGCCCAGTGTGTTTCTTCTCATTTTGTCCGTGTGTCACTGATTAGGGAGAATTAAACGCAATAAAACTGTTTTTTTTTATGGGGAGAATCAAGACACTTTAGGAATGGTTTATTAAATAAAATCCTTAATAATAGGTTTCCGGCAGCCGTTTCTGCCCATATATTGACAAAGCTTTTTATTAAGCAAGCCTCACTTTGGTAGAATTGCGTTCTATTGAACTACAAAAACAAAATCAGTCGAGAAAATATCCAATCATCTAAGAAAAGAGTATCCCACTAAAGATTCTGGCGCCTTATTCCAGCGTTCTATTCAATAATAATATAAATTACAATTTCTTATTTGGGGTTCGCTACACATTGCCTTGTCGCGTTCGAGCATCTCTAATTTTCGAACGGTGATTTTAAATTTGTAGGAAAACTTGAATCTCACCAAGTCATCTCCGGAGTGAAAGCGGAAGCTGAAAAATCTATATGTTGCTTTTCCAAAAAATATCTCTGTGATTGGAAATGGCTGTGGTCATAGAAGCTATTATCTCATAAGAAAAAAAAAATTGGCATTTATTGGCCGAGCAACAAGCGTTTCTCTAGTTACAGTTTTTTTTCACTCGTTGACTATCGGGTTACGATCAGAGTGAAGTATCTGTTCTCCTCATTTCTAATAGTAACGGTGATATTATTCATTTCTCCATTCATTGACCGAGTAGCAAGATTTCTTTTGGTGACACTTTTCATCATTCCTTGGCAATCGGTTTAGAATCAAAGAATTTGTTTTTCTCATTCTTAAGAGTAATGATAATATTAGCTGTTTCCTTATTAGGAAACATTCGGCATTCGTTGACCGAGTAGGTGTTCAAGTGAAGGTTTTTTTTTATACTCTTTGACCATTTTTTCATACTCTTTGACCATTTTTTATATTCTTTGACCATTTTTTATACTCTTTGACCATTTTTTATATTCTTTGACCATTTTTTTATACTCTTTGACTACTCTTTAGGATCAAAGCGTATTAACTGTTCTTCGCATTTCTAATAGTAACGGCAATATTTATCCGGTTCCTTACAAGGAAAAATTTGGCATTCATTTACCGAGCAACAAGCGTATCTCTAGTTACGGTTTTCTTCACTCTTTGGCCATCGGGTTAGGATCAAAGCATAGTAACTGTTCTCCACATTTCCAAAGTAACGGTAATGACACATGGCAGAGAGGATAAAGACGTTAGCTAGATCCGGTAAAAGCACCAAAGGAGTGTGAGTTCAATATCTGGTTAAGGCGGTAGAGAACTTTCAGAGGGGAATTAACAGGTGATTACTGACATACATTAGACATGGCACGTGGAACTAGAACAGTCTACCCCGGTGAGCGAAATTAAGGGTTCAGTTCGACATTCCAACCACCTGAAGAAGGCCGGAGCGTGCAACGGCCGAAACGTTATGATAAACATGGCGACAAAATGATGACAATAGTCCGAATAATGTAAATAGAGCAACGGCAATATTTATCCGGTTACTTACAAGGAAAAAATTGGCATTTTTTCACCGAGCAGCTAGTGCTCTTCGTGTGTCGCTTTTTTTCATTCGTTGATGCTCGGATTAGGATCAAAGTATAGTACCTGTCGCCCCATTTCTAAAAGTAATGGTGATATATTTCTTATAAGGAAATATTCAGCATATATTGACCGAGCAGCTAATACTAATCCCAGTTGAAATCGATAAAAACTCTCTATTAAAATAATTTCAAACCATTAGAGAAACAACTAAACTTTCAGCTGTATGTAACCCCTTTCTGAGTTCGATGGTTAATGGTGGCTTGGTGCGAATTAAGCATTTTTTTTCAAAGAGGATTCCCCTTCATCTTGGACCGCTCCAGCAATATCAGACTCCTTCTGATATGTTGTACCTTTACAAGAGCTACAACAGTCTGATATACGGGCAGGTGCTTCCAAATCTTCATTTTCCCTTCCCGATAGAGTCTTCGTAGCAAAAAGCGAGAGAGAGCGTGAGGGGGGGGGCACCGGACCAACAGAGGTTTCGTGAGGAAAGCCTTTCCTGGGGGCAGTTCTCGCTTCCTGCCGCTTCCTAGCCGTGCCCGATTCCGCCGGCGCTTGCCGTCTTCGTCCCGCCTTCGTCCCGCCTTCGTCCCCTGTCTCTATTTCTCTGTCCGTCCCGAACTGGTCCCCACGATTTTCCCGTCGCCGGGGAATGACGGAGGGGGCTCGGGCGCTTGTGGCGGGGAGAAAATCTCACGTCGGTCTGTCGCCGTTTGCGGTGTGCAGCCTCAAACTTTCCTCCCACCGCCCACCGGTGAGATCTCGCGGCTTGAACTAGTCACGATATAGCTCGTCGAGTTTCGGCTCTGTGCGCGGGCGCATCACCCCCCGGGGCGGTAAATTTCTTTTCTTCGAGTAAGACACAGCAGCGTCCTGGGTATGACGATAAACTTCATCGGACAGGAAGGCTTCGGACTGAGAACTTTTGAGAAGCCTGGATTCATCACTTAAGTGCTGTTGTTCCCAGTTTTACCCTGACATTGTGTGGTAGCACGTGTTAGTTCTCATCTATGGGCAAATATTTAAACCCAAAAATGGGGTCAAAACATTATGAAAATATAAAAAGAGTTTTTTATAGTAAAACTACAATCAATACATTTTTGAAAGAAATATTTCCAACAATATATATTTGACAAAAAAAAATTTTTAAAAGCAATATATTTTTGAAAAAAAGTTACCAAAAAGAAAAGAAAAATATTACCAGCACTACATTTTTGAAGAAAAATTACCAGCAGTACATTTTTGAAAAGAAATTACCAACAATGCATTTGACTCTCGACACAACCCTTCCTAAAAATGCACTCAATGAAACCTGATGTACAAACTGAGTCTTAGAAAGAATACATATTCTATTCATACGACACTATCTTGAAAATCTTGTCGGCATTAAATAACCCATTGAGGCTGATATGCCGTAAATCAAAATAAACAAAATCAAAGAATACATATTCTATTCATGCGAAACTATCCTAAACATATCTTGTCGTCATTAAATAACCCATTGGGATTGATAAGCCGTAAATCAAAATAAACCAAATCAAAGAATACATATTCTATTCAGACGAAACTATACTAAAAATCTTGTCCTCATTAAATAACCCAATGAGGTTGATATGCCGTAAATCAAAATAAACCAAATCAAAGAATACATATTCTATTCATACGAAACTATAGTAAAAATATTGTCGGCATTAAATAACCCACTGAGGTTGATATGTCGTAAATCAAAATAACCCAAATTAAAGAATACATATTCTATTTAGACGAACCTCTCCTAAACATCCTATCGTCATTAAATAACCCATTGAGGTGCATATGCTGTAAATCAAAATAAACCAAATCAAAGAATACACATTCTATTTATACGAATCTATCCTAAAAATCTAGTCAGCATTAAATAACCTATTGAGGTTGATATGCCGTAAATCAAAATAACCCAAATCAAAGAATACATATTCTATTCATACGAACTTATTCCAAAAATCTTGTTGGCATAAAATAAGCGATTGAGTTTGATATGCTATGAAACAAAATAAATAAATAATAAATAAATAAATAAAAAATTCAGTTGGTACAAGAAATAAATAGGTTATGTGATGTGGCATCAAATATTTCGAAGAATTCGTTGTCAAGAGTTATAGTGAATTTCTTGGAAAGTACCCGTGAATGTAACGTTCAATGCGGTCGTCTCTTATCATGCGTTAATTTCCATAATTGAATTAAACTTCAGTTTAATGTTCTTCGTTGTTAAATGAAGTTAAATTAAAATTTCTCAGTTCTCCTCTTTCAATATTCTGAAGAATCTTAATTTTTCAGTTAATGATTGAATAAGCTCATGGCGAGTTCAACGTAAAAAATATCCGTAGAAATTCCTATAAGAAATCGTTAAATATTTCAGCTTCACAGTTTTATCAAAATATTGCAATAAAAATCATTAATATGGATGCTAGTTTTTATTTAAGAAGTGGGTACAAATGAAAAGATTTAATATTGATGACGTTTTTCCATTTCATTGTAGCAGTCATTAAACGTTTCTTATCTGTTACCTTCTTTCTTCTTACTGGAACCTGGTCGTATCACTGATATTTGATTTATTTGTTTTTTTTTCAAAACGGAATAGTAAGATATTTATGAAGTATTGGCAGGAGACGTTAAACACTTCTATATTCCCTTCTTTCTTTCTTTCTTTCTTTCTTTCTTTCATTCATTTTCAAACTGAACCCAAATGTATTTTCCCATCTTTCCGCGTGATCAAAACGGAATAGTCTGTTATTTATTAGTTATTCGAAGGTGATGTTAAAAACTTCTGTCTTCCTTTTTTCTTTCCTTCACTGAAACTAAGTAGCGTCTTTTCCCCTTTTTCCAAGCCATCAATATCCAATTATTTATTAGATATTGGCAAGGCGTAACGCTCGTGCAAAATAACGATGAGCGGGACAAACACAATTATAACAAGAGAAATGGTAATTTTTAAAACTCGTCGCGACTTTTGGAATGCCCTGTATCGCCTAAATCCTTTCTTAAAGCAACAATAATCTCCTCAGTCTTCCAATCTAGTCTGACATTAGCAATTGCTTTAATCTTGGTTGGATTCATTTTTCTCAAAAGAGGCTTGGTTTAAATTGGTGTAAAACTTCAATCTGTTGCTCCAGTGTACTCCCAGTTCTTTTAACTCTAAGCTCATCTTTACTTTGCTATAAATAAACATGAAAATATTTTTCTCATAATATGCTTTTTTTTCCGCGGTGTTTTTTAAATGATGCTCCTATCGCCATTATCCGCAACGAACGAGTTTTACTTCATTGCTCACCCCCAACCACAGTCACTCCCCGCCCATTCTTTCATAAACGATTGCGACAGAACAAGAAATAATATTCCATATGGCATTTTTGGCATGTGTTCATTCATTCAGGCTATCGCTCAAGGCCAGTTATCGAAAGACGGTTCAGGACACCATATTGGCGGGGTTCCAACATTCATGACTTAAAATTAGCCGACGAAGAAGATACTTTGGTAGGCAATCAGTCGTAGATTCGGAGAAATGACATTATATATGTTCCCGATAGTTGATAGCTATATTCACTCAGCTAAGAACAAATTTAAATGGGTAATTTGTAACAAGAAAAATCACGTTATACACAACCCATGAATGCCATCATCAGGTCGGGAATTCTTGTCGGATATTCGTTCCTTCCAACAATCTCTGTCACGCATAGCCGTCGGCAGGTCATCCAGATGGCAAACAGAGTCATCTACAAGTTGGTCAATGTAGGGGTGATCAGGTCTTCCAACCGATCTTTTGCCGCGCAATGGCTTACATAGAATGGAGTCACCCACAAGTTCTGACTTATTTCTCCAGGAGTGACCAGCTAGCCTAAGGCTTCTCTAGGTAACTCTGTTAATATGCATGCACATAGACAGAACACGGTTTATCTAGAGAAGAAAATGGTAATCGCTGGTCACTGGCAAGAATAGAGGAAAGCTCTAGACAGAAAGACCTCAGTCCCCGGATGTCCTCACGGGTAAAAACATGAAGAGTACCACTCCCTCTACCAGTTCCAAGGAGGACGACCCGGCTAGCTACGCCGAAAAGATGAGAGCGATGAAAATATGATTCGAGCCAAGTTTTGAAAAGAAGATGAAAGCAGCTCTGAAGTTAAAAAGAACACATCAACCTCCAGCAGGGCGCTCTTCTTACTGGACTCCGTATATCCCTTTAGTCACAAAATATATCATGGCTCCACCTCTAGTAACAAAAATCACCAACTCCATCTAAGATGACTACTTTTGAAAAAAATACTCCCATTAGAAAATTCCCGCCAAAAAAGGCTACACCCCTAAACACCCCCAAACCCTTCCATGCTCACCCTCCAATCATTATTGGACAGCACAAAAAGGGAAGACGTGTGTCGAGGGAGCAGGCGAAAAAAGCTATTAACGGAAAATCGCAAAATAAATGATTTAAGGTGTCTTTGAAATTTTCAAAGAAGTCCTTTTAAAAAACGTTGAGAACCCTAAAAATTTTTCCAAAGCCAATTGGGTAATAACTGTGGTGTGATTAGGACAAGAATACCAATAAATATGGCCGATGCTAGAAGAGGCAAATGACAATTTCGGCACATTCCCTCGCCTAGCGTCCTTCGACGAAGAACAATTAATAAAAAAAAAATTAAATCAGTTAACCAATATCTGTATAGAGCTATAAAATTAACGTTCCCCAGAGTCATTTGTGGCCTTTCTCTTGACAGCACTATTAAAAATGTGATCGGCCAAGACTCAATATGACAATCTGTCGGTATCCTAAACCCAATACAGATCCCTAACCCGAATTGAACTGATCATGGCTCTCTGGTTTGCTAGTATATATGGCTGAGACATGAGGACCGAGTCTTGCAGGCCTTGTCTTGCTCGCAATCTTCAGAATCTCGGTCTGTATCTATATTTGTATACAGGAGACTCGGTTTTTTAAATCAAGGCCGATATATATATATATATATATATATATATATATATATATATATATATATATATGAAGAAATTTTGAAAAAAACAAACAAAATCTTATAAATGTAGTTAACGAAAAGAAATGTCGACGTCTGAATACGTTTCGGTTTTAAACCTTTTCAAGACAATATTCATCAAAATACAATTCAATTCAATTTGATGATACGATGGACATAAAAACAAAGGTTTATTAAACCGAAACGTCGTTACGTCGACATTTCTTTCTTTCATTTAACTACATTTAAGGATTTTTGTTTGTTTTTTCAAAATTTCTTCATTCTGTCGGATTTATATCCATTTACACTTGATTATATATATATATTTATATATAATGTTTTGTTCTCCGTTCAGCATGTTTTGATGGACGTTCTAGAAGTTTTTCCTGACTAGTGAGTATGTCTTTGAATGTAGCGTGTGCTCGTGTCTTCGCAGATCTGACGGGTAGGCTTTGCGTGCTGGATGGTATCATAAAGAATCATTGGAGTGTATGCTTTCAATAGCAATGCGGAACGTCCTGATTTGTTTAGGTGGGTCGAGGCGTTTTTGACGATGTCTCATCGAGTAAATTTAGGGCGCAATTCGAATGCCAACATTGACCCTGGCATAGATCTTATAGGAGAAAGGTCTAGTACTAACAACCCGGATATCGAATTCGGTCTTTATCTGATGCTACCAACTCGGCTATGTACTATGCTGATGACGTTTCGTTCTTGTGTCGAGCAGAGCCAACATTGACGAAGTCGACAAAGAGATCAGAGTGTATGAGACAGTGACAGAGGCCAAGAGCAACCGCGACTACACAGTTGGCTTGCTATTGGGCGCGTGGAACGGAGTTTCTCTTCCCAGGCCTTTCTTTGGGACGGACAGTCAACATATTCGGCTTCTGGTTCAGTCCCGATTTCTTGCTGGAAAGGAACTGATCGGAGTTTCGGAAGAAGGTCGAGGGCACAGTTCGTCTGTGGTCTTGGAAGGATCTTTCCTTAAAGTGGAAAGCGGAAGTATGTGTTTCGCACATTTGCCCACTTTTTCTTTTACCGACTTTCCGCTCCTATATGCCATACTAATGCAATTAGGATCTCGGGAGATCTGTTACGTTTTCTCCTCTGAAGGCAATCTGGGTATACTTAGCGTTGAGATTCGTCAACATACGCTTCGCATTGCTTTTCCTGGGATCGGATGTGTTCGCAAGCGGATAGGAATGGCGAATTCTGAAAGTAAGACGCCAGTAAGAACTTCCCGTCCCTAGAAAGTGTGTATTCGTGCGGGGAGGTCGTCTACCGTTTACCCCGAGGTGATGGCTCCTTCTTTCATGAATGTCTGTTAGCTCTCAACTTTCTTTTACGGGCTTCTCCAATGTCCAAAAAAAAAAAAAATAAATAAATAAATCTTATGGCCTGACGATTGCATTGAGCATGGAACAGACTGTCACATGTACGTCTTGACTTCAATGTCCGCTTTTATATTTACATACGATCTATTCCCGTTATTGAGCACGTTAACACATAAATATATCATACATACCTTAAAAGTATAATTTATCATTCACACACACACACACACACACACACATATATATATATATATATATATATATATACACACATGCGAAAGATAAACAAATACTTTGTGATATGCAACATGAAAAAGGCAGGTGATTTTTAGAAAAAGATACTTAACGTGAATGCGGTTGCTATGCGTACGTAGATTTAATTTTTATTTACCGTATATACTCGCGTATCATGCGATATTTGAAGACCTAATCTTGACGCTAGTTTTAAGGGTGTCGCATCATGCAAGAGATATAAAATTAGCGTATGTTCTGATGGCCCTGCCTACGCCGTTAACCAAACTACATATCCATTTACTGTAGTCAAATTGGCTTCAAAATTAGGTCTTCAGAGGTCGTATGATATCAGAATGTAGACACATATATGGGTCTACATTTAGCATATCTGGATGCATAAAGAGATAATTTATGTACAGAATTGGTTTGAACAAATAACTTACCACGCGTGATTTACGAAAATTCTTTCTGCCTGTTCCAATCTATCTATCTATCTATCTATCTATCTATCTATCTATCCATCTATCTATCTATCTATCTATCTATCTATCTATCCCATTCTTTTCATATCTATCACCCTATCTAGGCATTCATATATATTTCGGTCTCAGTTTCTATCTATCTATCTATCTATCTATCTATCTATCTTATTGTTCTATCTTTCCTATTCTTCTTTCTTTCCTTTACCTGTAACTCAATTCCCTTCTTCTATCTATCTATCTATCTATCTATCTCAGTCTCTTCATTATCTATCTATCTATCTATCTATCTATCTATCTATCTATCTATCTATCTATCTAAAGACCTTATCAGAAAATTCAAAAAAATAAATCTTCTGAAATATTTCCAATATGGTTTTAATGTAAATCGAATTTTCAGTTTGGGGATGACATGTTTCAAGAAGTAAAACTATCTAAAGTCTTTTTCATTGCTTTTGAAGAAATGTTCATCGATTTATGGCACAGGAACATAGGGTTACAAAAACATTATATTTTTACATTACCCTAATACACACACACACACACACACACACACACACACACACACACACACACACACACACACACACACACATATATATATATATATATATATATATATATATATTCTGAAAAATTAATTTCGGTTGAGCTCTCTGGGGAAAGAAGTGTGGGTTTGTAAACAGTGACTATTACGGCTGATATAGTGAGACTCTTCAGTAAAGCGAATCGAGTCCTGTCTGTGTGTTTATCTAAAATAAATACGCTTAAATTCCCCATCATCCCTGGCTTAGTGGTAGAATCTCCGACTGATGCTAATTCAGTCAGGTTTCGATCCTAGCTAGAGGCAACCGGACGTCCGTCTAACCACATGGAAGGGCTGTGATACAGCGGAACTCTCTGTCTGTGGATGACATTATATATATATATATATATGAACATAATTTCCAACATCGATAGCATGACTCAGAGATGCACGCATTTCATACAATCTTCAGGTGATAAGATATTCTGACCGTTATAGAGTTGGCGTTCTCGTGAGAATGATTGAAAACTTGTTTATTTAATTATTGTTGCTAAAATATAATTAACTATTAATAATTTATATCATTCAAATTCATGAGTTCGAAAGACAAAGAATAAAAAAAAATAAGATTAACATCTTTCAAATTTGAATTCTGTTTCAAAAGTAAACAATATATAAAGGCGGGTATGTTTTGTATTGTTTTTTTGTTTTTTTACATAAGATATCCTAGTTATACCAATTAGCTTAAAGTAGAACGCAGGTTAGACATATAATATAAATGTACAAATATAAATATATATATATATATATATATATATATATATATATATATATATATATGTGTGTGTGTGTGTGTGTGTGTATAATTTCATGTTTCATTAAATAATATAGACAAGTTTTGTTTATTTTAAGTAAGTTCCTTTCGTATTGTCTGATGCTTAATCACATCATCAATCTAATAATATGAAAGGAACTTACTTAAAATAAATAGACAAAACTTGTTTATATTATTTAATGAAACATGCATTAATGAAAAATTGCTGCCTAAATATACACAATATATATATATATATATATATATATGACAATAGGAAAACTGTGGTAGTTGCCGGCGCGTTTCGTCCAATTCGGACTTTCTCAAAGCAAAAACGGAATAAATTTATTTAAACAAAATAACTAATAATAACAAAATGTCTTTAGCAACTGAAAGAATTTAGACAACGCTATTTTCATACTGTTAACTGAAAATGACGTCAATTACTGTCACGTTTGGAGATATTGCTATTATTGCTGTGTTGACTGATTCAACCATTTTCTTTTGATTTCACGATATTGTTGTGTACGTTTGTTTGGGAGAGTAGTAATTCTGTTAAGAAAGGTGAAATAGGGAAAAGGACTGGGCGTAGGTTAATATTTGGGTAATGTTCTATGGCGGCACTCTCTAGAATTTTCCTTCTGAATGAGTTATGTTTTTTATGAGTGTAGCGTTTTTAAAATCAAAATTTTGGTTGAATTTATTTCTATGCATGACTAGTGCATTAGCTAAGTTGTTTTTGTGAGGTGTCTTTTGTGCTCATAATTTAATTAATGGGGTTGTAAAAACAATAATTCCAAATTACTGATAACTGAATACCGAACTTTTCTGAAAGAAATTTAACATCTATATCATGAAATAACATTTTCAAATGCATTATTTAAGGTTTTATTTTTTATTTTGTATCATATTCTTCTTTATTTAGTGACTTTTAGTGATATTTTAATGCTTTTTAATATTTTAACTATTTCTAATAATGATTTTTAATGATATTTTAATGATTTCTAATAATGATTTTTAATGATATTTTAATGGTTTTAAAAATGATTTTAATGGTATTTTAATGATTTTTTTTCCTGATATATTAATAATATTTTCTTCTTTTTTTGCTTGAGAAATTGCGTCCTTGTCTAACTCTTTATGATTCGCCTCGCGTTTTTTTTTTCTGTAGCGAACTAACGAAACTGGATTAAATTATATGTATTTGTTTGTATAGCTACTGGTTGAAAGTGCAACTGACTTAAATATTTATCAAGTGTACTCATTGCTTCGATGTTTGAAACAGGGTACTGGGGCTGTTGAACATGGGTCTTATCCTTTAACATAGATTATAAGTTTAACAATAACAGTGTCACTAGGTTAATACAAATATTCGTTCTTCGTATGAAAAAAAACGAACGGAATCTGTCTATATTTCTGAGATGAGGTATTGTAACTATTTATACTATTTAAATTGTTCGAACGGTTGTCCTCATTTTCGTTGTCATATTCACGGCGTTTCGGCCACAGTACACTCCGGCCTTCTTCAGGTGATTGAAAAGTTGAGTTAAAGGGAGGTAACTGATAGTGAGACATCCGGGAGTGGTATGGCACGTGGAGCGAGGAAAAATCTGCCCTGGTGGATGGAATAAGGGGTTCCGTTCGAAATTCCAATCACCTGAAGAAAGCCGGAGCGCAACGGCTGAAACATCGTGAATATGTCAACGAGGACAACATTCCGAACAATGTAAATAGTGTAAATAACGAAGGAATCGACAGGCATTAATCGAACTGATTTTACAAGAATTTCTATCAAATGTTGAGTACGTTTTTTTTTTTTTTTTTAAATACTCAAAGCGCACGTATGATACAGAATATGAGAATGGATTTAATTCGAATAATTAAAAAAAGTTCGGATGATTTCAATTTTTCCCCTCATTTGTAATTCGAGGTACATATGGGCGAGGAAACACTGGATAAATATTCAAGATCTTTGACCAAATCGAAGGGTAGGCTGTTGAAATCAAATCGTGAACAATGCTGGCCATGAACAAAAGGAACCCCTCTAATAGAAGCTCGGAGATTTATCGAAACAACAATTAAATTATCAGCATGCTGAAACGGAGCAAAAGATTATAAGCGTCGACGATTACTGCAAGCGCAGATTCTTAAACAGAATTAAATAACGTGAAGTATAGAAAGCTATTAGGTTGGTGCAAAAATAATGACGTAATAATGTCGTTTTTTCACGTGTTTTTTAACGTCAAGAACGACATTATTACGTCATTATTTTGCACCAACCTAATAAGAAAGATAGGGAAAACTAGACAAAGAACTAGAATCGAATAACAAGGACCCAATATTTAACCAGAATTTAAAGAATGGAGCTCATCTCAACATTTTTTTATCATTTATTAGCCCCACCGATAGTGACATTTGCAGCTGGGACCGAATATGCTGCATGTACAATAACCCTCATTCCGTCCGTAAGAATACAGTTTCATACGGACACCTTTCGAAGGACTGACGCTCTGTGGAAGACATTCCCGGCATGATTCAAATCCCTGAAAATATGACAAAAGCTGACTTGAACAGTTATTTACAGAGAAAGTTAACGACTTCTGGGCGGGGAGTAAGAGAAATAAGAGTTTGCGTGTAAGATGATAGAATATTGCGAGATAAAACAATAATGCTTTCCAAACCTTAAATGGTGAATTTAAATAATAGGAAAAAACTCCCGGTATGACGTTTTCTGAATCTCTAGAATCCTGACCCCTTCAAGTTTAGGGTTAACCGTTATATTTCCAGCATAACTTTAGCTTTTCTTACTCATGCAAAACCACACATAACCTTCTAACTTGACTGGCTCTTGGGCCTTATTTCTGAGTGAATATTTATATTAAAATATAGCAATAGATTAATGTTAAGCTTAAGACTTTTTCCCCATAGTGGCAACGTCTTTCTTTCAGTAAATGAGAATAATTACTAGGGAGTTGAAAAACGTTCTTCCGGTTGCAGAGACCATTTTACCATGGCCTGAGACCACTGGTCTGGGTGAGGAGAAAGTTTGATCTTGTACTAAGAATTTTTATTTTCCATGTACTGAAACGGCTTCATCGGATGCTGTGATCCTTTTTTTTATCTGGATACACTGAAATTCAGGGGATAATCGTTGAAGATGAAATGCTACAAGTTTATTATTTTCATTGGGGTGTTTTTTGTATTATTTTTTTTATTTCATTTCTTATTATATATATATCATATGTTATATTATATTTTATTATATTATATCTTATTATATTATATTTTATTATATTTTATTATATTATATTTTATTTTATTATATTATATTATATTTTATTATATTTATTTTATATTATATTTTATTTTTTTATTATATTATATTATATTTTATTATATTATATTTTATTATATTATATTTTATTTTATTATATTATTATTTTTATTATATTATTTTTTATTATATTATATTTTATTTTATTATATTATAATTTATTTTATTATATTATACTTTATTATATTATATTTTATTATATTATATTTTATTTTATTTTATTATATTATATTTTATTATATATTATATTTTTATTATATTATATTATATTATATTTTATTTTATTATATTATACTTTATTATATTATACTTTATTATATTATATTTTATTATATTATATTTTATTTTATTTTATTATATTATATTTTATTATATATTATATTTTTATTATATTATATTATATTATATTTTATTTTATTATATTATACTTTTATTATATTATACTTTATTATATTATATTTTATTATATTATATTTTATTTTATTATATTATATTTTATTATATTTTATTATATTATACTTTATTATATTATACTTTTATTATATTATATTTTATCATATTATATTTTTTTTATTATATTATATTTTATTTTATTATATTATATTTTATTATATATTATATTTTATTATATTTTATTATATTATATTTTATTTTATTATATTATACTTTATTATATTATACTATATTATATCATGTTTTATTATATTATATTTTATTTTATTATATTATATTTTATTATATTTTATTTTATTATATTATACTTTATTATATTATACTTTATTATATTATATTTTATTATATTATATTTTATTTTATTATATTTTATATATATTATTTTGTTGTTTTATTATTTTGTATTATTTATTGCGTTATTTTGTATTGACTGTGAACAACCAATTTTCCTGCACCTGAATTGTTAATGTTAGGTTAGATAAGACCTCATCTTCCAGGCTCTAGTTATCTAGATATTTTGGAGAAGGCTTTTTTCCTGAACTAAACCAGCATTTCTATGGATAACTCATTGTGTATTTTTGTTCATGAGAGAACTTAGTGAAAAACACTGTCTGGGTATCAAGATGGTTGTTATAGAATGTTTCAAAGATGAGTTTGCAAATTTGTCACCATGGTGATATTTAGCTGTTATGCTAGTACCTGATATACATCTATAAGAATGGCTTCCAATAATGAGTACATAGAATTTAGTATATTCCTCAGTGTCACTTTTATGATGTGTTGCCCTTTCATACAATATTAATAATGATATAATGGAATATGCGTACACCTGTGTTACCCCTCACTGGAATGTGATTGGCTGGTGTCCGTCATAAATACCGACGGACGTGTAGAAGAAGTCAAGTGACTTAGTCTGTGAGCTAAGTCTATAACGACGCCCAATGGACTACGCCATTGATCTACACTTCTGCGACTACGACGCGTTAACAGACGATTACTGCTACCGTATTCTACTTGGTTATAGTAGCCAAAACCGCTTAGCTACTTCCTTCATATATTTTCCTTTTCCGGGACATATCACTATCTCAGTCTGTTTGTAATCTTCCTGGCTATAATCAAGTTCTATCGATCTCAGACTGTTCATGATCTATCTATCTATCTATCTATCTATCTATCTATCTGATATAATGGAATATGCGTACACCTGTGTTCCCCCTCAATGTAAGATGATTGGCTGGTGTCCGTCATAAATACCGACGGACGTGTAGGAGAGTCGAAGGGCCTCAGTCAGAGAGCTAAGTCTATAACGACGCCCATTGGACTACGCCATTGATCTACACTTCTTACGTGCGACTACGACGCGTACCAGTCGATTACTGCTACCGTATTCTATTTTGTTATAGTAGCCAAAACCACTTAGCAACTTCGTCCAAATATATCCCTTTCCGGGACATATCAAATGATATAAGCATAGGGCCAATGCTTGCTAAATAGAAATTACTAAAAAAGAAAAGAAATACTAAGAATTGTGTTAAACTGAAATGCAGATTATTTGATCAATATCCTGAAACATTTCCAGAAATATTTGACCTTCTTGTATCAGGCTGGATAGTCTTAGCACCCACTGAATGTAAAACTCGGCATGATAGTGTCAGCCAATATTCTGCAATGGAAAATTTGCCACTTTTACGGGACGGAAACTGCAAGAAATTGATTTGAACGGCACCCAGAGCCAGTTAAAAAAGACAAGATCTATAAAAATTTTATGGGACTTTACAATACACACAGACAGAACAATAAAGGCTAATCGCCCTGACATAGTGACCTAAAAACCACAAAAACAAATCATGTTTTCCGATTGATATGACAGTTCCAATTTACAATGAAGCGATCCTGGGAGAATTAGAATTCTTACCAGGATTAATTTTTGGCAGTCACATCATTAATGACACAAAAGAGGCAGATGACACGATGTTGATAGCAGATACATAAAAGTCAATACAAGAAGTCTTACAGAAATTCGAGCGATAAAGGAAGAAGAAAGAACTGCACAACTCCAAGAAAAGAGAATATATGCTTTTCAGTAAAAGAAACTGCCCAACATGCAAATTACATTTTGGATATATCAAAATCAAACACATATAAAAAAAAAATAAATATATTTATATATATATATATATATATATATATGTATATATATATATATATATGAAGGCGCATTGGGATAGTGAAATATGCCTTCAAAAACCTAAGCTAAGTATTAAGATACAAAAAAAAATATAGCATTACAAACAAAAAATGATTATCGAAATGTTATGTAATATCAGTCCTCGTTGATAGCAGTTAATGCTGGACAATCTCAACACAGATAAAGAAGAAACTTGAAGGGTCTACTGAAGGATGCTGAGGATATGATGGACTGATCATGTGAGCAGCGATGCAGTTTTATAGAAAGTGGAAATAAAAATAACACTTTTACTTACTTATCATCAGAAAGAGGCTGTTGAAATTTCCAGGGCAAATAATGAGGAAAGATTTGATACTTACTGTCTTGAAGGCAAGAGTGGACAAAGGAAAGCAGGCAAGGTTTAAAAAGGCAAAAAAGACAAAATTTAATAAGAGCCATAAAGGACAGGAAATTGTATAGTGCCATGATCACCAGCCTTTTGAAGGGATACGGCCGAAAGAAGAAGAAGAAGAAGAAGAAAGAGGAGGACGGGGAGGAGTATAAGAAGGAGGAGAAGAAGACGAAGAAGGAGGATAAGAGGGTGGAGGAGAAGAAGAAGGAGGAGAAGAAGAAAGAGAAGGATGGTCAGAAGAAGAAGGATGATGAGGAGGAGGAGAAGAAGGAGGAGTAGTAGTATAAGAAGAAGATGAAGGATGAAGAGGAGGAAGAGAAGTATAAGAAGGAGGAGGAGACGATGAAGGAGGAAGAGAAGAAGAAGGAGAAGAAGAAGAAGGATGATGAGGAGTAGCAGAAGAAGGAGTAGTCGTAGTAGTAGTAGAATAAGAAGAAGAAGGAGGAGGAGGAAGAGAAGGAGTATAAGAAGGAGAAGACGAAGAAGGGGTTGGAGAAGACGGAGGAGGAGGAGGAGAAGGAGGAGCAGAAGAAGAAGAAGAAGGATGATGAGGAGAATATGGAAGGGTAATAGAAGAAGAAGAAGAAGGATAAGGAGGAGGAGGAGAATATGGAGGAGTAATAGACGAAGAAGAAGGAGGAGGAGAAGAAATAAAAATAAATCGAAACATAGCAAAAGCTGACTGGGACAGTTCTTTCTAGAGAAAGTAAACCACTTACTTAAAGAAAAATAAGATTTTGTGTAAAAGATGATAGAATATTGTAAGTTAAAACGATAATGTTTTTGAAACGATAAACTGACAATTAAAATAATAGGAAGATTATTTTAGAAACAATGAAAAGTATCCTGAACAATATTTTTATAATAAGTCAACCGATATGGCAGTGGATGCAGGATAAACTTCGAACCGACCCGAGACAACAGAAATGTGTCTCTACTGAATGATGATGAGGATACCTTGATTTGAAACTGTGAATAACGAGGATATTTTAAGGAAAATGGTCGCAAGAAGGACGCTTATATTTAGAGCCAGAACGAAACTATTGAAGTTTCTGGGATACATAGTGAAGAAAGAGGACTTAGGGAATTTGACACACTCAAGAAGAGTAATCTATCCGCCACGTTTGTGCTAATGGATTGCCAAACAAGGAGGGAGGTGAAAAGGCATGCCTCACAATGGATAGAAAGTTGTGGAAGGTCTTGATCGCCACGTCCCGAAAGGATGCTGTACACAAATGATGAAGATGATTTTCTTCCTTAAAATTAATATTAAAAAAATTAAAACCAACAAACAATTTATTTTATTTTTTCGCTTAATGAACCGAATTAACTTTATATTTCTGAGATGAGGTATTATGTACACTATTTACATTATTCGGACTATTGTCCTCATCTTTGTCGCCATATTTATCACCCTTCAGTATCTGTCTATATTTCTGAGATGAGGTATTATGTACACTATTTACATTATTCGGACTATTGTCCTCAACTTTCTCGCCATATTTATCATCCTTACGTATCTGTCTACATTTCAGAGATGAGGTATTATGTACACTATTTATATTTTTCGACTATTGTCCTCATTTGTGTCGCCATATTTATAAACTGTCAATATTTCTGATATGAGGTATTATGTACACTATTTACATTATTCGGACTATTGTCCTCATCTTTCTCGCCATATTTATCATCCTTACGTATCTGTCTATATTTCAGAGATGCGGTATTATGTACACTATTTACATTTTTCGACTATTGTCCTCATTTGTGTCGCCATATTTATAAACTGTCTATATTTCTGAGATGAGGTATAATGTACACTATTTACATTACTCGGACTATTGTCCTCATCTTTGTCGCCATATTTATCACCCTTCAGTATTTGTCTATATTTCAGAGATGAGGTATTACACTATTTACATTATTCGGACTATTGTCCTCATCCACGCTGGTGAGCGAAATAAACGGTTCAGTTCGAGATTCCAACCACCTGAAGAAGTCTGGAGCGTACAGCGGTCGAAACTATGTAATAAATATGGCGACAAAGATAAGTACAATAGTCCGAATAATGTCAATAGTGAACCGAATTAAATTTTATATTGACCTCATTTGGAACTTATCTTTTCCTCAGTTTTGCGTGCCCATGTTTTGTTTTTTTGTTTTTTTGCGCTTCCTTGTAATTGTTTTTTTTTTTGTAGGGGGGAGTGCGTGATTACCCGGGCTGTTTTTTTTTTTTTTTTTTTTTCCAGTTCGTCACCCTTATCACCCAGCAACCTTGTCGAACCGATCAGTTGCACACTGCCCAGTAAGACAATTCGTGTCGGGAATGATTTACATTGTATTGATTATTTCGAAACTAAAATTGGGTGGGTTCAGTGTGAATGGTTGGAGGGGGGGGGCGAAAATGCGGGCCACTAATTATTTCCTTTACGATCAAACAATCCACGTGGTGCTAAGGACATTTGTACTGAAAGTAAGCGCAACAGAACCCAAAACAGTACAAATATATTTAAAGAGAGAGAGAGAGAGAGAGAGAGAGAGAGAGAGAGAGAGTAGAAGTATAAAAAGGGAGTAATAGGGAAAATGATAGAAGAAAAGGGGAGTAAGATGATGAGGAGGAAGAAACACGAGATCAGGTGAAGGAAAAAGAGGGAGAACAGAGGAGACTGAGAGGGTGGTTGAAAAACAAAAAAAAAAAAATTAAAGAAAGACAAAAGTGTGTGTGGGGGGGCAACGAGTAGGAAAAGATTATAAGGACAAAGGAAATGAAGAAAAAGGCTAAAGAAGAATCGAAATAATAATAAACAGAAAAAAAAATGAAGAAAAGTTGAAAATAAACAAGAAAAATGAATGAAGAAATGTAAGACGTAATCAGAAAGAAGAAGAAAGAAAGAGTAGATATAAAGAAATAGAAAAGGAAAGTAAGAAACAAAAAAAAACAACAATAACAATTGACCGAAGAATGATGAAAGAAAGAAAGAAAGAAAGAAAGAAAGAAAGAAAGAAATGAGTATCGAGAAATATAGTAAACAAAAAAATGAAAGAAAATCGAAACAAATTATATAATTAAAAAGACAGTAGAAAATAGAAAGAGAGGTGAAATAGAAAGATAGAAGAAAATAGAAAGAAAGAAAGAAAGAAAGAGAGAATAAAAGAAAGAAAGAAAACCAAGAATGCAATAAAAATAGGAGACGAAGGAATGTTCCCCAGAAAGGAATATAAAGAGGGGGAAAAAGAAAGGGAAGAAAAAGGAGAAAAGCGTAGAAAGAAGAAAATAGGAAATAACTGAATGAAAGAAAAAGAAAAGAAAAGACACAGGCAAATAGAGTTGAAAAGAAAGTCTAAATGTCACGAAAAAAGAAACAAGGAATGAAGAAAGCCAAATGAAAGAAAAAAAGAAACCAGGAATGAAGAAATCAAAAAGAAAGCAAAAAAAAGAAACAATGAATGAAGAAAGCAAAGAGAAAGAAAAAAGAAACAATGAATGAAGAAATCAAAAAGAAAGCAAAAAAAGAAACAAGGAATGAAGAAAGCCAAAAGAAAGAAAAAAGAAACAATGAATGAAGAAATCAAAAAGAAAGCAAAAAAAGAAACAATGAATGAAGAAAGCAAAGAGAAAGAAAAAAAGAAACAAGGAATGAAGAAAGCAAAAAGAAAGCAAAAAAAGAAACAATGAATGAAGAAAGCAAAAAGAAAGAAAAAAGAAACAAGGAATGAAGAAAGCAAAAAGAAAGCAAAAAAAAGAAACAATGAATGAAGAAAGCAAAGAGAAAAAAAAAAGAAACAATGAATGAAGAAATCAAAAAGAAAGCAAAAAAAAGAAACAATGAATGAAGAAAGCAAAGAGAAAGAAAAAAAAAAAAAAAAAAAAAAACAATGAATGAAGAAATCAAAAAAAAAGCAAAAAAAAAACAAGGAATGAAGAAAGCCAAAAGAAAGAAAAAAGAAACAATGAATGAAGAAATCAAAAAGAAAGCAAAAAAAGAAACAATGAATGAAGAAAGCAAAGAGAAAGAAAAAAAGAAACAAGGAATGAAGAAAGCAAAAAGAAAGCAAAAAAAGAAACAATGAATGAAGAAAGCAAAAAGAAAGAAAAAAGAAACAAGGAATGAAGAAAGCAAAAAGAAAGAAAAAGAAACAAGGAATGAAGAAAGAGCAAAGAACGAAGAACGGTTGAAAGACAAGTAAAAGAGACAAATAATGAAGGTAGGCAGAAAGAAAGTCTGAAAGACAAGAAAGAAGAAATACAGAATTAAAAAAAAAAGAGAAAGAAAGAGAAAAGAAACAAAGAATTAATAAAAAAGTAAGAAAGAAACAAAGAAACAAAGAATGAAGTAAGCAAAAAAGCAACAATGAATAAAGAAAGCAGAAACAAATAATGAAGAAAGAACAATGAATGAAAAAACATCTGAAAGACAAGAAAAAAAGAAATAATGAAAAACGTAGAAAAATGAGATAAAGAATGAAGAAATCAAAAAGAAAAAAAAAGAAACAATGAAAAAATATAATACAAAAGAAAGATAGAAAGAAAGCATGTAAGTAAGAAATAAATAAACACAAATAGCAAAGAAAAACCGTAGAAATATATTAAGTAAAAGAATGAAAAAGAAAATGAAAGGACTCCAAATAAATTAAAAGAAAGCATGTAAGAGAGGGAGTGTGAGGGAAAAGAAAGAGAGAAAAGAGTAATCAAAAGTAAAAGCCAAAGAAAAAAGGAAACGAACAGAATTAGAGAAGAATTATAAAGAGAGAAGAAAGAAGAAATAACAAGAATATAAGAAGAGAGAGAGAGAGAGAGAGAGAGAGAGAGAGAAACAAACCCCAGAACAACAGAAAGTAATAATGAAAGAAAGAAATTAAGATGAAATAGAGATGAGAACAGAAAGAAAGCGAGACAAGAAGAGAAAGAGAAAAGGATATATTACAATAGTAAAACAAATGAAAGAGTAATACGAAGAAAGACCAAGAAAAATGTGACAAACAATCAGAAAAATACACGGGTAGGGAAAAGAAAGGAAGGAAGGAAGTAGGGAAAGAAAGAATGAAAGAAAGAAAGAAAGAAAGAAAGAAAGAAAGAAGGAAAGAAAGAAAGATAGCTAGAACGAAAAAAAGAAGAAAGTAGGAAAGAAAGAAAGGACGAAAGAAAGATAAAAAGAACGATAGGAAGATGGAAGGAAGGGAAGAAAGAAAGGAAGGAAGGAAGGAAGGAAGGAAAGAAAGAAGGAAAGAAAGAAAGAAAAAAGGAAGGAAGGAGAGAAAGAAAGATAGCTAGAACGAAAAAAAGTAGAAAGAAAGAAAGGATGAAATAAAGATAAAAAGAACGAAAGGAAGAAAGAAAGAAAGAAAGGGAGATGAAGAAAGTAGGAAAGAAACAAAGGACGAAAGAAAGATAAAAAGAGCGATAGGAAGGAAGGAAGGAAGGAAGGAAGGAAGGAAGGAAGGAAGGAAGGAAAAGGGAAAGAAAGAAGGAAGGAAGGAGAGAAAGAAAGATAGCTAGAACGAAAAAAAGAAGAAAGTAGGAAAGAAAGGAAGGACAAAAGAAAGATAAAAAGAACAAAAGGAAGACGGAAGGAAGGACAAAAGAAAGAAAAAAAAGAAAGAAAGAAAGAAGGATGGAAGGAAAGAAAGAAAGAAAGAAAATATATATATATATATATAGAGAGAGAGAGAGAGAGAGAGAGAGAGAGACAGAGAGAGAAAGAAAGAAAGAAAAAAAAATAAGAAATTTGCTATTTAAAATACACATTTTAAAAACTAATTCAAAGCAAAGGTTAGACAGTCTAGATAACTTACTCTATAGGAAAGAGTGTTTTTCTTTCTTTGACGGGTTACAACCCAAGTCAAGAGATTCCCTTTTAACCAGCTATTTTACATTCAGTGTTTTCCTTCTTTCGATTGGTTACCCACCTAAGGCAAAAGCGCCCAGCCTAACCAGCTATTTCAAATTTTGTGTTTATTTATTCCCTGGTTACCACCTAATTTCAGATTACCCAGCCCTTCATGCCATTTGAAATTTAGAGTTTTCCTTCTTTCGATTGGTTTCTACACCAGGATCTAGAGCAGAGTCCTACCACCTATTTAGCAAAATATTCAGGAGAGACGGTTCCATGACTTTCACAAGAACATTTGTTCGAAAGTGAATGCAATCGACTTGCGTGGAATCTTCTATCTTCGCCCGCAGATTACAATTACCGTGTCGTTATCCGTTTAACTACACACCCGTTCGATATAGTACAAAAACTGTTTGTTATATGAAGCGTAAAGATCGAAAGAGACTGAAAGGGAAGAGAGAAAGAGTAGGGTCGGAAAAGAAAGAGAACTGGCAGAGCAAATAGAAGTCGTTTGAAAAGGCAAAAATCAATGGAGCCTTCTGTTGTTTGAAAAAGGAATTTCGCGTAGGCAGAACGAAGACAATTTGGCTAAATGTAACAAAAGTTATAATTTATCCGTTAAGAACATAACTGGCATTGTTAGCAATTTCACAACAAAAAGGCTCACTTTCAAAATAATTCTGTTATCCCTTGTTGAAAGAACCTGGGATTGTGTCTGAAAAAAGAAAAAAATGATTCTAATAATAGTGAATTGATCGGTTCATTCTTTTTAAAATTCCTGCAACCGCAAATATGTTCCCGTGAACTGAATAAATGAATATTTTCAAACTGTTAAAGACATTAAAAGAGGAATACGAAGGCCGATTCCGACAATCTGGGTTTATATTTAATTTCGTCTTGTATTGTCCAACCTCTAAATGTTTTTTGTATCTCATAACAAAATCAAAGCAGTTTCTTTCTCTCGCTTATATCTATCTATCTATCTATCTATCTATCTATCTATCTATCTATCTATCTATCTATCTCTCTCTCTCTCTCTCTCTATATATATATATATATATATATATATGTTGAAACACTTTGTTAACCCTTACGCCCCTTATTGAAATAACTGCTTCAGCTGTTTCCATAGTAATAAATTTTACGAATGAATATGCTTATATAGATGCTGCGTAAATTTCAAGATGAGTTATTCCAAAAATTTCGCTTGAAGATGTAACAGACCTTGCTACTTTAATTCAATTTTATTTCAATAATTCTATTGAAGATTTTGGCTTTTGTTTTTGAAACATGAGAACTCTTATGTAGCGAAGGAATCATATTTTTTTTTAAGAAATAATTATAATTTAGACTCTACTTATGTATTGATCACTTTTTTCTAAAAATAAAAACAAAATTACTGAAGAACTTCGGATTATTTACCTAACGTGTTCTTTTTCCAATTTTTCTATATATTTGCCCCCCCACATACATATATATATATATATATATATATATATATATATATATATATATACATATAAATGTAAAAGTGAACATAGAAGTCAACATTTACAGGCGACAGTCGGTTTCATGCTAGATGCAATCCTCAGGCCACGAGTGGTGTTATTTTTCTCTGCTATTTATATATACGGTTCAGTGGTGCATTGTGGGTAGTCTATTTTGGCGGTCATTTTACTGGAAGTCGTTTATTTGTTTATTTATTTAATTGGGTTAAATTGATTTTCTTGTTTTTATTTATTTTTATTTTTTATTTTTATTTCTTATCTTATAAATTTATTTATTTTTATTTTATTAGGTAAGAATGACTACGAAACAGCCCTAAAAGATAGCGTTTTCCCAGCAACATTCACATACTCACCAGGGAGCACAAAAAAGGCCAACAGGAGAAGAAATATCATATGGTTCAACCCACCTTACAGCAAAAACGTAAAAACAAACGTTGGAAAAATATTCTTCAAACTCTTACACAAACATTTCCCGGAACCAAGCACCCTACACAAAATATTCAACAAAAACACAGTAAAAATCTGCTACAGTTGCACCGAGAACATGGCACAAAAAATAAAAAAGCACAACAGGAAAATTATCAACATGAACGCATTAAACCCACGTGCAACTACAGAATAAAGAACGAATGTCCCATAAACGGTAATTGTTTACAAAACAACGTAATATACCAAGCTACGATTAAATCACCAGATAATGAAGAAAAAGTATACATAAGAGTAATATGAAGGACCCTGGAAACAAAGAAATTATGTGCACAAAACATCTATCAAAAAATAATTATGTGAACAGCACAATGGTTTCTAAGTATATATGGGAAATTAAAAACAAAACGCACATCACACCAAAAATATCTTGGAAAATAAGGAAAAGGTCTTTAGCCTACAGCAACCAATAAACTTCAAAACTTTACTTGGAGGTAAAAATAGCTATCATTACCTTCTCGGAGTAAAATAAATTATTAAATAAAAGATCCGAGCTCATCTCAAAATGCAGACAGGAAAACAATTTTTTTTATTTCGTTACTTAAAAATCGAAAACTGAAAAAAATAAAAATAAAATAAAATAAAAAAGAAAGAAAAATAAACAAAATGACAAAAAATAAGTAAAATAAATTAACCCAAACAAATTACCAAACCACACCCGTTAGAATAGGCGAAATAGAATAAATAAATAAAAAATAAAAAAACAAAATCAATGAACCCAAATAATAAAGTAAATAATAAACAAATTATCAAACCATTATGACCAAAATATTAGTTAGACTATAAAAGTCAAACAAAAATCGGACGAAAAAAATAGCTATAACTTACTATAACGATAAAATAAAAAATAAATACTACGTAACTGAAAAATCGAAAACAGAAAAATCGAAATAAAAATAGAAAGTATAATAAATAAATAATAATTTCTAAATTCATCCAAATAAATAAATAAATCCAACAAACCGATTCCAATAAAAAAACTGTTAGAAAAAACAAATGAAATAATCAATCCAAATAAATAAATGAAGTAATAAACAAATTAAAAACCACTCCCACCAAAATAATAGCTAGAATAAACTACAACAATCAACCCCAAAATTGAATAAATAGCTTTATCTTCCCAAACCAAAACAAAACTATTAAATAAGCGATATAAACAAATTTTTATTACGTTAATAAAAACACCGACTAAAAATAAATAAAAACAAGCAAAAACAATTTAACCCAATAAATAAATAAATAAATAAACGACTTCCGGTAAAGAAAACCCGCCAAAATAGACTACCCACAATGCACCACTGACCCACATATATAAATAACCGAGAAAAATAACATCACTCGTGGACTGACGATTGCATATAGCATGAAACAGACTGTCGCCTCTAAGTGTTGACTTCTATGTTCACTTTTATATTTACAGACGGTCTATCTCTGATATTGAGCACTTTATCCAATAAATATAGCACATTTTAAGACTATATTTTTCATATATATATATATATATATATATATATATATATATATATATATATATACACTCACACACACTCATATATATATATATATATTTATATGATAAAAATATAGTTTTAAGATATGGCAGATTTATCGGTAAAAGTAGACAATATAACAGATACAGCCGATTTAAATATAAAATTTGCCTGAGGATTGTGTGTAAGGAAGGAACAGACCCCGCTGACGGTGGCCCATATTATATAAATACATACAATACCCTAAGGGAAGATTTCAGCCTGGAGAAATAAACTATATCCAATTTCAAATTTTAATTACGTAATCCCTATTCAACATAAATAAACAGTATTTGGAACTGGTATAGAGTAGGTCCTCCATTTGCTATTTTCAGTGCTTATATTCGATTTTTCATGGATTCGATCAAGTTATCAACAATCGCTTGGTCCGCATTTTGCCACTCCTTTAGCAATGTTTCTTTAAGGGTTGCCACTGATGTGATTGTGGGTGCACACTCTCGAAGTTTTCGGTCCCAAACTTGCTCTAGTGGATTATATCAGGACTTTAGGCAGTGACTTGATTCCTTACGATTCGTTCCAGGCCTTTGCATCTTGACTCGCATGACACGGCGCTCCATCTTTTTGATAAAGCAAGACATTCTTGTAAATCTGATTTGATTCAAATAGTCGGAGTAGTGCTTTCCCTAATATTTGACAAAATTTTGGACCATTAAACCACTCATCAACAAGAATCAGCTCAGGTTTCCACCCAAACCAGACAGCGCCCCACACCATTGCTCCAATACCTCCATGTTTTACGGTTGCCTGCAAACATTCAGTGTTCCAAGTATCATTCTGATTTCTCAAATTCGAATACTCGCAGAATTTGCTTTCATCTGACCAAATTACAGACTGCCAAATTTCATAATCTTTGCTCTCGAATTCTCTCGTCGAGACCATACACCTGTTCCTATTAACCTCTGAAATCAAGGGCTTCTTGCTTGCAACACTTCTTTGATAGCCTAGTTCTTTCAGAATGTTTCTCTGCGCATATTTCCATGCTGTTTGTGACATCTTTGACGCTCCGACGACGGTTTTTGATGACTTCCCTCTTCAGCGCCCTTTTCGACACGATGCTTGAACTTCCTGGACGTTGTTCCACACGACAACGGCCTTCTTCAATAAATTTCTTGATAATATTATTAACCGTTAGATGATTAACCTGGAAAAAAAACTAGCAATTTCTCTATTTGACTTGCCAATCTGATGCCATTCTATTATTTGACCGAGTTGAAATTTTCTTACTTTCGCGAACTTTCATTGCAAAATATAAGTCAACTATCGTTCATAGATTTGGAGTAGCTTGATACTAACACGGTATTGTCTGAAAAACTCAAACATGTGTTGTTAAGGACTACGGATATTTTCCGTTTACTAATCTTTTTTCCTATT